ACTTGCTCTCTAATCTATCCATTTCTCTTTCTAAATTCATCAATTACCCCTTTCTCTTTAAAGCATTCAAAGTTTTTCTTCATCCTTTTCTACCTTCTCATGTTGGTCAAAACTGGAAAAGGAACCAATACCCTCCTTTAATGTGGGATTATAGGACCACTGCTTGGATGATTCCAAACTCTCGGATTAATGGAGGGACACAAGAAGCAGCTTTATACCTATACAATGCTCCAATTTTGGGTCCATGGATTCTAAAAAGCAAGTACTTCTTTGGGAACTTTGAGTTATAATGTACTTAGATTAATCCAAGTAGATTATAGTCTAGAGTGTTTGGTAAATTTAGTGGATTATTATCTATTTTTATTTTTTGACTGTTTAACAAATGAATGGATTATAATCCGTCATAGTTGTCAAAACAACAGCAAATGACATGGGATTGGTGGTGGGTTATTAAATGAGGTCTTGGATTTTATGAAATCATAAGAGGTATAGTTGTCTTTTACTTGGTCAAACGCCATGACTTATAATCCACCGAAAAATAAACTAAGATGCGTGCTTATATTTTTGGCAAATCATTCGCCAAAATAGGTCGCTTGTCAACAAATTATAAGCCAAAATAAGCCACTTGTCAAACATCTCCAACATCTCAAAGTGGCTTATAAACCGCAAAAGTGAGTTACAAATCACTTTGATCATTTGCTAAACATGCTCTAAGATAATAGTGAAAGAGATTCTGTTTATACCCAAAAATGAAGTGCTTGGAGTATCATGCTTTATATCAACCATCTCCATCATAAATGTCACAAATTAGCTGTATCCTTCAAAAATCTGTGTGAGGATAATGAGATTCCACAATCAGAACCTATGCAAAACTCCACCTCATTCGGAAAACCAATTGTCATTATTATCCTCATTGCTTCAGTTGCATGCATATTACTTACAACTGAAATATTTATATGTATAAAGTTATTAACGAAACACAATTCTATTAACTGAAAATAAAGGTTCGGTATACTCCACATTATCTTAATTGTCATTTGTTTGGGTACGAGGGCAACCTAGGCAAGGATGAGCAACAACCAGACGATTAGCACGAGTTTGAGCCAAGACATAGCTTATGAGGCATCATGCAGTTATTATCCTCTACCCAATGTGGAGGCGTCTTCACCCATGAGGGTCTACCCTCTGGAAGACAACCGAGTGATCGATAGGACCTCCATGCCACCAAATACTTGTGCACTTCGCTGGCATAATGCGAAAGCATCAACCACCCGAGCTCACTCCTTGGTGGTTTCGCACATAATTATGTTCAAGAAAGTATAGCATGGGCATGAATTTCATATAAAATTCCTCTTACAACAGATTGTAGAATTGCTGTACATAGTGAATTACTGAATGTTTCATATGTATTTACATATCTATAAAACTTCCACCAAACTTATTCCCCTAATAAGCAACCAGAATATTGCAATGCCAAGGCAAACTATTTTCTCATTACTGGATACAACCGTACCAATCTTGCAACTTTTCCAGAAAACCCAACTGCAAGTGTGCAGGACTGCAGCCCAGAACTCACAGCTCCACGTTTTCTCTGTTAGCTGTGCTCTCCCTTTAGAATGATAGATTGCCTTGTATTTATTAGCACTTAGTACCCTTAGATAGTCATTTTTCGAAAATTTCAGGCAACACCCCTTTCCCCATGAATTGAGGGGAGCTAAGTGCTAATAAATAAGCTGAGGGGGTTATCTGCAATTGAGCTTATAGATGTAGGGGGTTATCTGCAATTTACCTTCAATAGTCCACGTTAAGATTCTTTTCTCATTTCTGTTCTGATTCTTATGAATTAGACCAGCCATTGATATGGTGGCTTTCAGAGTGACGCTTCTTCTTGGCTGCAAGTCTCATATGAACCGCGTTCTCAATTGCCATTGCCTCTTGAATACTTTCATGGAGCTGTTTGCAGAGCTCATCGAGGGCAAGCATAGGAAATGGCTCTTCAATGAGAACACCTACCTGAAAATAGTATAGAACAGTTCAGCGTCGCAAACATGAGTACTGTGAATAATAATGCAGGACAAAACCATAAGTTCCAAGTATGCAATTCTGAGAATTAGGGGATTTGGAAATAGAAACATATGTTGCTATGTCGGAAATATTTTGGTAAAGAAACAGATTGGAGAATCATGACACAATATATGGGGAAAGTATGCATCACAACCAGTATCATAGTTTTGGCTAACCAAACGAAGTCACTATTCCTACACCTTCGGTATTCACGCAACATACTAGACTTCAATCTCCCTTGTACCACAATTTGGGCTTTTTGATACCACTTGTACATTGATAATGGGAATCAATCAAACCTTGAAACTGTTAAGAATTCACCCAACATTTTATTTAGATCTATCCTCCACCCCAGGACTATACTGACATGAAAACCCAACACATAATAAAAGTTTTTAAGGATAGAAATTGTTTAATAGTCTATCCCATCAAAAAGTAAACATAGTCATGGACTATTTAAAAGATTCATGACCGTTAACCTTTTAGTAGTTTTTTATCTGAATATAACAATCTTCCTAACATGAAATGCATAAGACAAATTTTAAATGAAATGTAAGCTTTTAGAGAACTAAGAACTCTATGGAGGTCTGGAAGAAGAATAGATGCCCTCTTGTCCCCGCATGATATTATTATACCTCAACCGGAACGGACAAGTAAAAGGATTCATAAGGTCCGTCTAGTTGAAAAGGTTACATGATATAGTTGAGGTTTAAAAAAAGTTAAAAAACTTTTATAAAACACAGTTAAAAAATCAGGTATAGAAAATAAAACGTAAGGCACATTGGTACTTTGTTGATAGTTCAACCCATGATGCGCATTTATTTTTCTGTGAAAATATTCTTTTCCATATTCAGAATCATGAAAAACATAGTGCCTTCAATTTTCATAGTCTAACCATCATGGATTGCTAAAAATAAACAAAGTTGAGAAGACACACTACACATATGGGTTCAACAAACACGAAATCCATAACATGCTTGTTCTCAAATAGGTGAATGAAATGAGAGATTTATATCAGCGCAAAAGTTTACTTCTTCAATGCAGAACAAAGAGGCTGCACTGATAAAGGTAGCTGGGACAACTATCCAATTGCAATCATCCCAAAGTATTATGGGCAGCGTAAGATGCCATAAGACTAAAAACCTTGACGTCAGGCGAGTATATGAAAGAGGAATAGGAATGCCCATGAGCTGTTCACAAACACCAATTCCTTCATGGAAAGAACTAATTTTGGACTCCTGTAGAAAAATGAGCAGAATTAGTTAGTTCTCAACTTATTCCAAGGATGAATATTGTTTACTGTTGTACTACTGATAACTAAAGCCCCATAGGGAAGCTCTCAGCTATTGACAAAACTGAGGTGCTTCCAGCTCAAGAAACTACACAAATGTTTGTAAATATAACTTGCATGCGGCTATAAAGTTTCAATACAAGGCAAGCTTATGATGGAATGGTTACATCAAAACTTTACAATTAACATATATCCTATTGATTTGAAATTCCAACCTGCAAATTTCTTAATTTTACCATGACGTACACTACAGAATTATGCTTACTAGATCTAGCATCTTTTGAGTGTACTAATTATATGTGATAATGGTGTAAATGTTCTGCCGTAACCATGTCTTAACTACTTAGGTACTGACTATCCTAGTTTAATATCAACAACACATCTATTTGTACTACTATCATTATACACATCTATTCATTAAATTTTAAAAATCAACCTATTCAAGGTGTATTAAGAAATAATTTCTACACAAGACGTAACGTGTAGAGCTAGAAAATTATAGCCGATAAAATTATTGGGTTTCACCGTAGAAACCACATTAAAAACAGGGTCATTATACATAAACCACATTTAAATGTCAATTGTTACATAAATCACCTTTAAAGTAGGTTTTTGATGCAATAAACCATCTTCCAGTCAAATTCTCACCGAAAAATAAAAAATGACCCTAAAACAACTCACGTTCAAGGCACACAACTTCTATCCTAACCAGACCTAAGCATTAACTAAATGAGTCATGTGCCTTGAATATGAGCTTTTAAGGGTATTTTTGGGTTTTCAGTCAAAATTTTGGGCGGAGGTGGTTAATTGCAACACAAATCCCCTTTAAAGATGGCTTATGTATTAATTGACATTCAAATGTGGTTTTCTGTAGTAACCAAATTTTAAAAGTAGTTTCTCAGGAAAAACCCAAAATCATATGGTGTTTTATCCATGTTTCTCTTGTTTCCTAACTCTAAGTATCAAACTATATTATTTTGCATCGATACAATACTCATGGATTATTCTGTTTGCTATTTTGATCTTGCACATCTATATATGTCAGCATACTAGAATCAACAATGAAAAGGTAAGTAGAGAAATAACTTCTCAAGGCTAGAAACCCTGAAACCAAATTGTGCATATAAACTGGCAAGTCTAGATGAAAACGAAATGACATGCATCAAAGGAAATAGATTTCTAATATAACTAACATTTCCCTTTTCGCGATCTCATTTGCTGAATTAGAGTTAACTCTTATTTTAAAGAGAAACTACCATAATGTTCCGATTTGGTTCTTCCAACTGTAACGTTTGAAGACCTTGTGTTATAAACTCAATCAGACATCGAGGACGATGCTTTGCGCTCACAATTACATCTAAGTCATCTTCTTCAAGCAAATTCTTTAGATCTGCTCTGATATTTGAGCCACTGATAACATGACACTGCAAGGCAAACATTATATTATTAGGTTTATGATGAACAATCCCTAACACAAGCATCTACATATCCAAACTTGAAAAGTACAAAGAACATCTTCACTCTCAGTGCTGCACCCTACAAAATCAATACATAAATCTATCACTTGAAAAGAGATGCCTCAAACTTTTTTGGTTGAAGTATGTTTGCCAATACTTATATATATGCAAAAAAAAGGTTAATGTTAGAAGGACACAAGTAGTTCTGCAGCTACAGTTATACTAAATATCAATCTCCTAACAGACAAGTTACATGATTTCTGTACCATCATGCCATGCCTAAGCCTCCAATTTTATCACACAAATGTATCTTTAATGTCTGCTGCCAACTGAAATTGAGTAAAAGTTTAAGGGAAAATCAGCATAATAGCAATCACTAAAAGCATCAAAGTAATTTAGCGGCAAGATCCTTCCTTTTAGATCCAGAAAGTAAACAAAAAATAAAGTTGTATCTTGCTAAAGAAAAACGTAATTTTACATGATCCACTAGGGCTTTACCCATCATGAAGTATGTTCATCCATGATGTGTCTCTGACGTCATTGACGTGCAGATCATCTGTTACGATCTTGGTATCTTGAATTATCAAGACCATGCAAACCTAGATGTGTGTCACGTCAGTAACCAAGGCTCTCAATTCTTACCAACCACGTACTTAAAGTAGATGCACAACAAAGATACCACTTCATGGGTTTAGACAACCTACAGACGCATGTTGAAATATAAAATTATAACCCTTGACACTCATCACAACTTCAGACTTTTAATGTAGTAGAAGGGACCTTTTTCAATGATGTTCTATAAAAATTACCCTAAAACATTTACCAATTAGCACTAGAACAAAGACCCCACAAAATGCCTCATTTACCCCTGAACCGCCCTCTTAACCCCCTTATCCTTTCCTCTTAACGACCAAAACTGCCCTAGTAAAAAACAATTCTTGTTTCCCTCTATTCTTTCCTCTTACCCCCCGAAACGGCCATAGTAATTTTTTTTGTCTTGTTTCCCTCTATTCTATCTTCCAGAGGAACCCTAGAATGATATTCTCCCTAAAACTTAGTTGTATCTTTTTGTGAAAATCCACAAGCATTTGTGAAATTCCCCAAAGTTTAGCACTTTTCTCCATTTATTAAAGTTCATGATCATAAGGGCTTGTGAACCACGCTAAAGTAGGTTTTGTGGAACTCCCCAGAGTTCGACAGTTTTGTCCATTTTTTCAAAGTTCCTGATCATGAGGGGTTAAAACAACTAGGATTATTTGCACTTTGGTTCCCAAAGTTTACACCATCTTTAACTTTGATACCCAACTTTGGTTCCCTAAAGTTTACATCATTTTTAACTTTAATACACCAAAGTGTTGGGGAGTAACTAGGCTCAACATAGAGCTAATGGGCCTTTAATAGAGGAGACGAACCAATTTTAATCCAAAAGGTTAACTTCTTAGGTACTTGCCCCAACTCATATTTAAACTCGTCACATTTTCTTATCATTTCCAATGCGGGACTATACTCACATGAATATCTAAGAATCTCATTTTTTTGTTTGTGTTTATAGTTCAATCTTTCACGGGATTCACTTACTAGAGTTAATGGGCCTTAAATAAAGGTTAGGAACCGATTTTAATCCAAAAGCAAAGCTATTAGGTATTGACCCCAACTCTTATTTAAATCCTGTCAATCTTTCTATCTCTTCCAATATGGGACTATACTCACATATGAATATCCAAAGCAATGTGCTTTTCCGCACTTTGGTGCCCCAAAGTTTATGCCCTTTTATAACTTTGATACCCTAAAGTTTTTTCCAACACTTTGATATTCCAAATTTACACCTTTCTGACCTCAAAGCTTTGTTTTGTTACACTTTGACGCCCCAAAGTTCGGGGGTAGCAGTAGCAAAGTTAAAAATTTTGTAAACACCCGGCGTCAAAGTTAAAAATGTGTCAACTTTGCAGGTAACAATGAGCCGGGAAAAAAACTTTGGAGTATCAAAGTGTCAAAGAATAAAAACTTTGGCGTGCTAAAGTGAAAAAATTTAAACATTAGGATACGAAAGTGCAAATAAACCTAACATCTGCCTTAATAATTTATCATAGGAGATTTACCTTGAGAGCCACAGGAAACGCCTCAATGTACCCCAAAACCGCCCTCTTCACCCCCAAATCCTCAACCCTAGCCCTCACCCCCATCACCAACCCCGCGAGCTCGCTCGCCCCCGCCAAAACCCTCATCCAACAGTTCCTCCCCTCCACGAACCTCGCGTACGACGCCTCCGTCCTGAACACCAGCAACAGCAGCCAGCGCCGGCCGCCGTCAGCTGGCCTACCGCCAGCGCGCGACGCCCCTTAAAGGCGGGAAGAACTCAGCGCAGGAGGTGGGCACCCCCGACCGGAGTTTGTATGAGGGCAGAGCCGCGCGCAGGGCGCAATGGACTCAGCCGTGAAGCGAGAGCGACGGGGGGGACGAGGCAGCAGGATGACGCGCGGCACAGCCGAGAGCGGAGCGAAGAGGTGCCGGCAGGTGCGGAGAGCTCCGTGGAAGGGCGCCCAGGCTCCGGCGGTGTAAGACAGCCTGCCGGGGATTCCTGACGCCGCGCCCTCCTTGATGGCGTCGGCCCAGTCGGGCGATCGAGCTCTGAGGAGGACCGGCGCGAGCCGCGACCCCGGACTTGGACACTTGGAGAAATGCGAGCAGCAGGATCTTGGCTGAGGTATCTTGCGGTTTGGTTGGCAGGAGCCGAGGAGGACGGGCTGCGTTGAGAGCGAGATGAGCCTTCCTCCATTGGATGCTCGTGGAAAAATGAGAGCCGTGAATTTTGTAGCGGTCGAGGGGCGCCAAGCGAGCATGGAACCCGTTCTGTTGCGAAGGCCCGAGTTGCGTACACGTGTCGGAAGCGGTGGAAAGACGGTTTGCCTGCCTAGTTTCATGGCTTAATTGCACTTAAATACCATATAGTTTCCCCTATTTAGCACTTCCTCCCTCGTGTTGGGGTTAAACTACCGATTTGATATATTTTGCGCCCTTCTTATGTGTTTGGTCTTTTCCTTTTTTTCTACCTATGTGACGTTTTGATGTTTATTTTGAGCCAAATGTGCAACCACGCACATGTTCGGTGGCCACGGTTTTTTTTTTAATCTCCTTTCTCCTGCTAATTTTTTGCCACCAAGGCTTTCTAGACACTACATTTGGAGGTAGCATCACTCCCCTCCCCCCCCAAAAAAAAAAAAAAATTCACTTTCTTATAGTGGATTTAATATTCTTGTATAAACTTTAGGCATAATTGTTATTCTTGTATCAATATGAAAAATTGTTATAGCCCGCAAAAAGCTAAGTGTTAATCTTTTTTAAGTTGTCGACACGCGTCCCACTCCACGCCAGATCAGACATGGTCAGAATCTAGACGACTCAAATCGCTCCTGCAGCCGACTCCATAGGCCGACAACTTACATGGCTGACTCGAAAGGCGGCACTTGCCTACCTACCTATTAGATTGAGCCCACAAGCCTCCACACTCGGCAATACTACCTCAGCCGACAACTCCTGAAGCCGACTAAAAAGGCGGTACTTGTCATCTCACTCGTAGAGCTGAGTCAAGAGGCGGTGCGTCCTCGAACTCCACACCAACAACTACCCCTCCTCATCATAACTGGTGCCACCAGTCCTCATGGCTCATAACTCACCAACCCTCCTCGATCATCCTCACATCTAGTCAAGGATGACTCACCCACTTCAGCAGTCGACACCTGTAGAGATACTTCTTGGGTCAGCTGTCTGCCTGGACTCGGCCACAGTTACCTTCATGCCCTTCCGATCTACTATAAAAGGGAGTTACAATGCATGAGGTAACTTCTTCTGCTTTCATGCAACTCTGAACAATTATTATCACTATATTTTCGCACTCAAGTTCAAATGCTGACTTGATCGTCGGAGGAACAACCGGAGAACCCAACTTTGGTCTCTCATAAGTTTTTCATGTGCATGGAAGAGCAGCGATCTATAGAGTCATTCATCTGAAGGAGTTTGAGGACCCTAACTCTACTCTAATCCACAAATAAACCTACGTTTCATAACTGACACTAACAGTTTTGACGCCCACTGTGGGCCTGATTAAGTTTCTTCGTGCAAGATGTATGGTTTTGAGAGTCCTGGTCGAACTTTCGACCCACACCATGAAGAATCACATGCGGGCTATGTCATTCAGGCCCAGTTGGAAGAATCTACACGGAGGATCTCTCAATCTCTCCAGTAACAATTTGCTGCTTTCACCAATAAACTCTTCAACCGAATTCCTCCCCAACAACCATCATCATCATTCATTCCTCCACCTCCAACGGGTGGGTCAGCCATTCGTTCCCCCCACAACTTAGGCATGCAGCCTAGGTTGGACAGCAAGAAAACTATGCCAAGCACGTCTCTCCTCTGCCTCGCTAGCAAACTCATTTTGCGGCCTCTCCTCGACAGCATAAGTAGTACATGGAAACAACAGGAGAGAGCCCTAGCTATGGTTATGACAACCGAGAGCATCCCATGGGGGTGGCATAACACGGCCTACGGCTTCCTCATACCGCCCCAGGCCCCTCAACCACTAATCTTCCGTCTGGTTATGACCGGACCTTTTAACCAATCGTTGAGGCCATTAGGGGGAACACTCGCCATCAGCATCATGAATGCTACTTGTGACAAATTCAAGATGCCTCACGTGGAGAAGTACAAAGGTGAAGGAGATCCAGTCGAGCATGCTTAGAATTATTATGATATGATGATCATGCTACAAGCGCTGGAGCCAATCATTTATAGGTGCTTCCCTATCACTTTGTTAGGAAGCGCCAAGCTATGGTGAAACTCATTGCCTAATAAGTCCATCAACAGCTTTGAGCAGCTCTGCTAAAAGTTTGTGCACCACTTCCTGGCCGACACCAGGCAAAAGCTGCTTCACCATGTTTTGATGCAGATAAGACAAAAGCCTAGAGAGAACCTCGGGAACTATTTCAAGAGGTTCCAGGCCAAAAGACTAGGAGTCGATGACCCTGGCAGCGCGGTCACGACGTCTGCTATTGTGGCTAGCCTCAAGAGCAATGAGCTGGCTGACGCGCTCGTTAAAAAGCGGGTCACCACCTATGAGCAGTTGATGGCCAAGGTGCACGGATACATGGATGTGAAAAGATGCATGAGCCTACAACAAGACGACCAGGACAGCTGAAGCAGCAGTGACGGGACATAAATATGTACCAAAAGTTGCAAGTGCACAACAAATCAAGTTATACTATAAAAAGTTATCGATCCCACGAGGAAGGTGTTTGTAAGAAATAACTAGAATCGGTTCTTATGTTGTGTACGTGACAATTAGGAGTGATGGATGTGTGTAATTGTGGTGAGATATGAGGATTGTTGTGAATATAGCAAGTGACAATAAAAATGAGATTAAGAGGAGAGAAGAAAGAATCAAAGGAAAAACTAAAAAAGCAAGAATGAAAAGAAAATTCAAGAAAGTCAAGATGGAGGATTCAATTAAAGATATGGGAAATCTGAAATTGAATCCACTAGCTAATCTCACTTATAAGATATGAATCATTCTCTTTTTCACATTCTACTTTAGATTTACTAAGTATAGATTATCAAACAACTCAAAGAAAGTATAACCTATCAAATTATCATCTAAATAAAATTATTGCTCATGAAAAGAATAACAACTAAATAGTAATTTTAGAATTCCTTCTACCAATTAGTTCTTTAGTTGAATATCCTAAGCATGGACAATTTAAGAATGAGAGAATGATTAACAAATCATAAGAAAAATAAAGCTAGTTTCATACAATTTCTATAGTTTCAATAAGACTTAATTCCACATCTAAGAAAAGGGTAATTCCCTAGATGGTTCTAGCATCAAGGTGAATCAAAGAAAATGAAAACAATCAAAAAGAAAAACTAATCCCAAGAGGGTTCTAGTCTCAAGGCGAATAGTGTAAGAAGATAAAATCTAATATACAAAATAAATTGTAAGAACTAAACTACAATAAATTGTAAGAATTAAATGCAAAAAATTAAAGCAAGAGAATAAAAGCATGAAAGTAAATCTACACTACAAGACATTAATGAAAATTTAAACTACTAAGCAATAAGAAAAGAAATATAAAAGAGAAAATAAAAACAAACCTCCAAATTGATCTTCATATTCATCTTCATCATCCAACAAAGAGACGAAAAATATGAAGTGGTGAAAAAAATTATTTTATTAATTGTAATAAAAAGTTATAAATTTGTAAGGTCTTCTCAATTAAGAGTAACACTCCTCTCCAAATGGAGATACAAAATTTTTCACACCTTCAACCCCTCACTCTCTATCCTTATTTATAGTAAACATCAATGAATATGAGCCCTTAGATCGAATTCTTATCCAAAACCCTTGATTTTCTGCCTTTGATTCATAACAGAATCGTCAGCATCGATGTAGGCATCGCTGCTGGCATCGATGTCCTATCAAAATTCTGACTTCATGGTTAGCTTCGTTTCATCGAGATAGGTGATTTTCATATATTTTATATTAAATTCTGCTTTCCGGATTGAGAGATATCGTTGTTTCTTTACGGCCAACCATTTATAATATAATTTCTCTTCATATTGGATTTTTGATTTTCTCCGGCTTCTATAGGCTATTCGGCTTGATTCTGGGCTTCAATAAAAGGTTACAAAATGAGGAAGTTAGAGTCTTTTGGGCTTTTATTTATTATTTCTTTATTAACCTGCAATTAAAGATAAAAAATTATTAGTGGTGTATAATTATTCACGTAAAATAGATAATGATGGTATAAAATTATAATAAAAATATGATTATCAAATACCCCCACACCTAAACTTCTGCTAGTTCTCTAGCAAAGAAAGAAATTAAAAAAAATCATAACTCACTTTCGTAGGAATCGCGGCTATATTTAGCACATACAATAAGTCTTTAAACCCCTAGGTTATCCTAGTGTACGGGTTGTAATCTCATAAGGGTTTGCAGTGAATATACCGATAAAATCTGGTCAACTTGCCAATTTAAAGAGGTCGGTAAATAACTAAATTTACTTGATAAATTTAGATAATCTAATTGAAGCTAGTTATTACTCAAGAAAATGTTTTTATATATAACTCCAAAGTGAATTTTCTAGAAAATCTTCTCATTATAGCAATACAAAACCAAGTCAAACTTAGAAATTTAATTAAAAGTTTTGAAAAGAACATGCTAACTCTTTATTTTACATAATTTTTAAATCTCTTGAAAAAATAATTTTCAAGACCATATATACAAATATAACAATATATAAAACATTTGTTAGTAAAAAC